CCGGGACTGTAACTTAGGGGGTAACGGCAGCCCCTGCTGCTCCTGCAGGGTCTGACACAACAATGATCATGCACACAACCCCTCTAACCAACCCTGGGATGGTGGGAGAAGTGGAAGGAATGAGCTGGGCTGCAAAATGTAGCTCAGTCTGTGCATCTGCCTGCCCTTTCAGAGCATGCTGCTGGGAGAGTTGTTGGGCAGGGGAAGAGGAGGTTTCCATCACACGGGCTCCACAGGGGCAGGGGACATGGGGGAAGATGGCAGAAGTAGTCTCCATAGGAGAAGCTGCAGGTGCCACTGAAGCAGCTGGGGTAGGCGCAGGGTGCCAGTTGGGGTTGGAAAGCATTTACCTCTTCACACAGGGAGAGCTTGCCACACACTTCCATTGCTCTCACAACATAGTAGTATGTCTCAGCACATCCTTTGGGTATTACTGGTTTACAGGGTGTATATCTACCCTGCCTTCTTCCTTCCCCACAGCCGTGGGTTTCTGGCTGGCTACATTTTTGTGACTTAAATACAGGTGCACATCCATAATGGGCACATGTACATAGTCATATATGTGCCTAGCCAGTTCAAAGCCTAGTGCTCATACTCAGTCTGCCTGTGCACACTCACCTATCTACATGGCATGGGTCATAGTATCACTACTGGTGTACAAGTTCTACAAATGCCACTTACATTGTTAGAAAGCTGCCATGTCGACTAGCAGAATTCAACCCTGTGTCTTCTTAATTGATAATTTCTTGGCACCCACCTGAAGCTCCATTTCTGTCTACACTAAGGACTGTACAATTATAGAAGTTTGCAGTGATCTGAGTTTGCGTTCCACACCCCTCGAAGTTCCCTTAGAGGTAGGTCTCTTCTGGAAGGCACTTTGAAGGAGGTTGTGGGGGCAGGTGGCTGAGCTCCTCCTCCTGTTGTGCCTCTGCCTGGTAAGGAGGGGGATAAGGCAGGATCCCCACCCTCACCCCAGAATTGGCAGGGGTAGTGCAGTGTGGGATCATTTTGACATGGCAAATGATTCCAGTTATGCTACCTGCCAGCACTGCCAAAAGCAGATGAGCCAGGGCAAGGATGAGAAACACTTCACCACCACAGCAATGCTGCTTCATCTCAGGAGGCAGCACCCCCTTGCCCTTGTTCCTTCTCAGCCTGGCACCAGTGGGAGCATACCCAAAAAGAAGTCCCCCTCTCTCTCCTAAGCCCCCATCCCCAAGAAGCAGAGGCAGGCCACCCTGGACCAGTGGCGGAAAGGCACAGACAAAGGGGAGTGCATTCCCAACGCGAGCGAGATCACCTAGAGCATTGGGGAGATGCTTGCTCTGGATGGCCAGACCTTCTCCTTTGTTGAGCATCCAGGGTTCAGGTGGCTTATGGTGCTCGTGGCCCCATCCTACTGTTGAGCCCCAGCTCAAGTCTGGGATCGTGCCCGGTATGCAAAAGCCAATAAAGATACCAGGGGTGAGAGTATAAAGAAGATTTATTGCTAGCAATACAAGGTGCAAGCGGAATAATTTCACGTAACAAGCACACAGAGTCTTAATTATGAGCATCTTTTATACAGGAGTATTGGACCTTCATAAGCATTCTTGTTTGCTAATTGGTTATAAGGGAGTGACGCAAGGAGTTCTTTACTGAGCATGTCTCTGTACCTGTGTTTTAGCTATGTATCTCATTTCCATACATGTATGTTTCATTAGCATACTTTCTCCCCACCCAGGGGTGTGATTCTCAATATTCAAATCAGCTCTTTGCCCTAGTCCTCTGATTGTGCTTTTGTTTTCAAGCCTCCTTTATCTAAGACTGTCTCCTCCTTATCATTGCAGATGGGCATTAGTTACATAACAGAGACTTTTGCTTGGGCTTTGTATAGTGGTTTCTAGGTCAAACCTGACACTGACATAAATGTCTAGCTTTTCTAGTTGGTTTTGCATCAGCTCAGCATCCACAGTGGGGAGGCTATTATTCCCACCATGCCCCCTGTGATCCTTATCTCGCTTGTTTTTCTCCTTGGTCTGGTGAAATACCAATGCCAAGTGGGCATTCAGGAGTTCAGTTTTTTTCCTGTGTGTCCATTACCAGCTGTCCCAAGGTGTTAAGCAGGGACCCCATGCTTCCATTTGTTTTCCTTCTGCTCCCTACATACCTAAAAAAGGACGTCTTATTGTCCTTGACTCCCTCGGCTATCTTAAACTCAGTCGCTGCCTTAGCTTTCCTAATCATTTCCTTACAAGTGTGGACCACTGTTGTACAGTCCTCCTTGAGGACTGTTCCTAGCTTCCACTGTGTGTGCACCTCTTTTTTCTTTTTTCAAGAGCACTGCAATGTCCCTATTGAGCCAGGAGGGCTTGCCAGCCCTTCTACTACCTTTTCTTTTCATGGGAATGGTTTTCTCTTGTGCTTCAAGGATTGTGTCCTTGAGGAAGAATCACTCTTCATGCATCCCATTTGTCTTCCATTCCTGGTCCTGCATCGCCTCCCCTACTAATGCCCCGAGCCTGTTAAGTCAGCATTTTTGAAATCCAGGAGTTCAATCCTGCTAGTTGATTTGTCAACCTTGCGGCAGACAGTGAACCTGATGAGCTCATGGTCACCATCACCCAGGCTACCCTCAATGTTCAAGCCACACACCAGATCATCTCCTTTGGCCAAGACCAAGTCTAGGAGAGCGGTACCTCTGGTTGGCCCTTGCACTTCCTGGGTCAGAAAGAGCTCCTTGATTAGTTAAGAAGCTACATGACTGATCTGACCTAGCCGAGTGTTTCTCCCAATCTTTGTCCGGTAATTGAAGTTGCCCATGATAACCAAGTCCCTTGCATGCGCGGCCTCTGTCAGTTCTCGAGAAAACTCCAGATCAAGCTCCTCCCCTTATTTTGGTGGCCTGTAGTAAATGCTCACAGTTAGGTCTCTCTCACCTCATCCCCCCTCCCTCCAAAGCTTGACCCAAAGGGTTTCAAGCTGTGTATCTTTGGAGCCAATGTCAGCCTCAGAGAGGTGTACTGCTCCTTCACATAGAAAGCTACCCCTCCGCCTTTTCTCCCTGCTCGATCCCTTCTGTGCAGCATGTAGCCCTCTACGGCTACGCTCCAATCATGCAAGGAGTCCTGCCAGGTCTCCATGATCCCTACCAACTCATATTGCCCACTGGAGAGCAGGAGGGCTAGCTCCTCCTGCTTGTTCCCCAGGCTCCTGGCATTGGTGTACAGGCAGCTGAGGCCCCCAACTGACACCCTCGATTTCCGGAGACACTGTGGAGAACCGTTTTGTTACCATTTTCAAAAACGGTTATCTTAGTGTCCTCCACATGGGAGTTTTCCTGTGTGCCAGTCCCCAGGCATGCTCCACTTGGAGTTTCCCCGTCCCCCAGCAAAGTCAGTTTAAAGCACTGTCTAGCAGATCAGCCATGCTGGCTGAGAACAAGGACTTACCTCTCCACTTGAGGTGGATGCTATCTCGTCCCAGAAGTCCTCTCTCCCTGAAGTGCATGCTGTGGTTGAAAAAACTGAAGCCCTCATGGTAGCACCACTGGTCAGAGGCATCTGTTTACTTCTTGCACACAGCCTTCCCTCTTGGGTGCATGGCCTGCAGCAGGGAGCACAGAAGAAAAAACTACTTGAGCCCAGTCCCTTGATCTCATCCCCCAGAGCCCTGTAGTCACTCATGACCCGGTCCGGAGTACTCCTGGCCGTGTTGTTCATGCCCACGTGGATGAGGAGCATGGGGTAGTAGTCAGAGGGACAGATGAGCCTGGGGATCCTCTCCACAACGGCCCAGATGCAGGCCCCAGGAAGGCAGCAGACCTCTCAGGTCAACGGGTCTGGACGGCAGATAGGTCCCTCCATGCCCCTCGGGGGAGAGTCCCCTACAAGTCTACATCATTGATGCACAACTCTACATCAGCTACACGTGGCAGCTCAGATTAATTTCTGTTCTGTTAGAGCCTTCTATGAGCCTTTCCATTTTTAAGTCCTGTTTCTTTTGTTATCGAACCAACACTTGGTTCTCAGCATTGAAGGTGAGCATGGAGAATAAGGATGATCCAGTGCTTGAAGATCTGTGTCCTGGTCCTGGTTGCTACAGACCTTGGGGAAAGTTCTTACAATAGAAAAGTAGCCTCTTATTTGCAGTGCCTCCATTTGTAATTCTTAAGGTCCAGTCTAGCATAAGCAAATTAATCAGAACTATCAGAAAGACTGACTTATAGATCCCTAAGGATGTGGAGAGCAATTATCCTGGGTATCCTGAATGTTCAAGAGCTCACCAAAATTTAAGGTGCACACAGTTTGATAGCAGCCTTTGAACTTAAGCTTTCCAGGTCTCAGATTTTCTCTACAAAGGGGTGAATTATATTTCCTTACTGTATAGGTGCAGTGTGAAGGCAAATTCAGTTACATTTGTACAATGCTTTAAGAAGTTTAGATTAACGTTTTCCATTCCCCTATTACCTTGATGCCTCATTTCCATGCTAGGTATCAGCACAGTTAGAATCCGGAATAAGTATGGGGGACAGGGAAGGTGAAATTTGACTGCATCTTCTAAAAATATTTTCTAGATACACACACAGCTTCTGCTCACATTGGGGAGGAGAGACATCCCATGGCAATCTGCTCCCTTCCCTTTGCACAGCAGGGGGCAGAGCTGACCTCAGAATCAAATCAGGAACCATATAATTCCCTCTTAATTTATATTACTGTAATGCCTCAGGTCCCCAGACATAACCAACTTGTGCTAGGCACTGTACAGATGCAGAACTAAAGTGGGTTCTTAGTTGGCATCTCTAAAATGTGCTAGAAACTTGTAATAAACCTTTTTGCATTTCTTAATAATTTTTTAACTCTGTATTTGTACTATAAACCTGCTGCAGTAAATTGATTTCAAATCTCTGTTAATTTTGATATCAGAGATGTCCTTTTCATGAAATCTCCCATCTAACAGGTATCTGATCTCATAATCCCAACCATGGAAACTGCCAGGCAAACATTTTTCTTAAAAACATATGTGGAACACAATATTCCTTTGCTGTTTGTGGGTTTCACTGGCACAGGAAAATCAGCTATTACCAACAGTTTTCTGCTAAAACTTCCGAAACATCAGTACATCCCAAACTCTATCAACTTCTCTGCAAGAACTTCAGCTAACCAAACCCAGGATATTATTATGTCAAAGCTGGACAGGAGAAGAAAAGGATTATTTGGACCTCCAGTGGGAAAGAAAGCTATAATATTTGTGGGTAAGAAAATTTTGTTTTCTTGTGTCTCCCGAACTCTGAATTTACATGGAAAACCTAAACTCTTTATTGAGTCCGATAATTAAACACTGCTTCAGTTCTTCTTTTCTATAAAGCACCTGTAGAAGAATTAGCATTGCCCCTGCTGAAAGGCTTATATACATTTAAGTAGTGCTTCTCTTTGAGACAGACTCCATTTAAACCTGTGAAGGCTGGTTCCTTGTGTTGTAATGTGATATGAAATGAACAACAAGCAATCAATATTGAAACAACATTTTTAACTTACATGTACATGATAAAATTGCACTGGATTCAGTAGGTGTATCAGAAAGATTTCATAGATTTCATAGACATTAGGGCTGGAAGGGACCTCGGAAGATCGAGTCCAGCCCCCTGCCCCAGGGGCAAGAAGTCAGTAGGGGGTCATAGGATCCCAGCAAGATAAACATCCAACTTTTTCTTGAAGGCATTCAAAGTAGGTGCTTGAACCACCTCCATGAAAGCTAACATTTTCCTAGTTCTAGCTCAGTTGGAATTTTTGGTTTGCCTTCTAAGAAACAATAGGCAGCTGCACTTTGATTTTTTTTCTAACCTTGTTTCTAGATGATCTAAATATGCCTGCAAAGGAAGTGTATGGAGCCCAGCCACCCATTGAGCTTCTTAGACAATGGATTGATCATGGCCATTGGTATGATAAGAAGGATACATCTAGGCTTGATATCGTAGATGTCCTGTTTGTTTCAGCAATGGGTCCTCCTGGTGGAGGAAGAAATGATATTACAGGTAGGAAAATATAGAGACTACTTGTCTCAGAGATGTATTTCTCTCTCTCTGTTTACAAGATGCCATCTAGTTAACTAAAGATGGGGAGACAAACTTAGTTTTACTGGAGACTGGTGATTACATCTGTAGTAAGTTGAAAATAAGATTGTATGGTGCTGGATATTACTGGGTCTTTTGCTGTATGTTACAGGACGTTTCACGCGACACTTGAATATTATTTCCATCAGTTCTTTTGATGATGACATTTTAGCCAAGATTTTCACTTCAGTTGTTGACTGGCACTTCAGTAAGGGCTTTGAGCCAGTATTTTTAAGGTAAGAGTGATACCTTGCCTGGGACAAGTATTTTCTCAAATTGTTCCTCTCCATACTTCATAATTCCTTTTTTTTAAGGCTTGGCAAGCTGCTGATCCAAGCTACAATGGCTATTTATAAAATGGCTGTCGAGAATTTTCTTCCAACGCCTTCCAAATCCCATTATGTCTTTAATCTGCGGGATTTCTCCAGGGTTATTAGAGGAGTGCTGCTGTGTCCACATACCCACTTACAAGTAGGTTGCTTTTCAACTGTGTTCCTAGAATAAAAATAGTAAAAAAGGATCAGTGAAGTAAATTCTTGTGACTTCCATTCATAATAATTTCAATACTTACATATCTAAAATAAGGATTGGGTTAGAATACTGTTCTTTATATTTTCCCCTCTGCCTCTGAAAAAGAATATTCATATGTTCTTGAAACAGGTAGTAGCACCAGCAAAGGTTCAATATGTTAGGCATTATATATACATGTAGTATGTGACAGTTATTTCCCCCGAGACTGTAGTTTTGATAGGCAAGACAGGCAGAGAGGAGGAAAAGGAGGATTAAAATTTCTATTTCACAAATGGGGAACTAATAAATGAAGTAACATGGCCTCAGAAATATATCTTGAACTATGGACGTTTCTGGGGACTACAGAAAACCCAAATGTATTAATAATCTGAGTAAAGGCCCCAACTACATCACAATTGGATGGCTGGGGAATTGGCTCCGAAGTCGGACCCAGAGAGTGGTAGTAGATGGAAGTGAATCATCGTGGCGCCCAGTGGTGTCCCCCAAGGCTCCATCGTTGGACCTGTACTCTTTAACATCTTTATTAACAATGTGGAGATTCGTGTCAGAAGTGGACTGGCTAAGTTCTCCGATGACACCAAACTTTGGGGTAGAGCATCCACACCCAAGGATGGGCTGGTGATCCAGGCTGACTTTGTTAGGCTTAGAAAGTGGGTGGATAAAAACCTGATGACTTTCAATATGGTAAAATGCAAGGTACAGGAGACCCTCACCATTTGTGGGGGATACATTCTTGTATTCCCTGCAAATAGTGAAATTCCAGAATAAGGCACTGCGTTCATGAACACCGTCTGCGTTCATGAACGTAGTGCCCCTGGCAGCTGTGGGGGGTGGGGGGACATGGCTGCTCTGGCGATGGCAGGAGTGTAGCAGCAGTGGTGGGAGCCTGGAAGCAGCAAGCACAGAGCTCCCAAGGAGTTCCTTTAAGAGTATTTAGGTTGCAGGTTCGGCATTTGCGAATATTTGAAACTACAAATGCCGAACCTGCTAATAGTGAGGGTTTCCTGTACTCCACCTCGGAGGAAAAAAACCCTACATCATGCTTATAGGCTCAGCAGTGCTACACTCACTACCACCATGGTTGAAAGGGACTTGAGGGTCATGATTGACCACAAGATGAACATGAGCCACCAGTGTGATGTCACAGCTGGTACAGCAAACCAAACTTTGGCTTGTATCCATAGAAGCTTCTCAAGCAAATCTCAGGATGTCATCCTCCCGCTGTACTTGGCCTTGGTGAGGCCGCAGCTGGAGTACTGCATCCAATTCTGGGCTCCACAATTCAAGAAGGATGTGGAGAAACTTGAGGAGAGCCACATGCATGATCAGAGGGCAGGAGAACAGGCCTATGAAGAGAGGCTGAGAGCTATGGGACTTTTCAGCCTGAAAAAGTGCAGGCTCAGGGGTGACCTGGTGGCAGCCTATAAGTATATAAAGGGTGTACATCAGGATCTGGGGGAACGCCTGTTCACCAGAGCGCCCCAAGGGACGACAAGGTCCAATGGTCATAAACTCCTTCAAGACCGTTTTAGGCTGGATATAAGGAAAATCTTCTTTACTGTCCAAGACCCCAAGGCCTGGAACAGATTCCCTCCAGAGGTGGTGCAAGCACCTACTCTGGACTCTTTTAAGAAACGTTTGGATGCTTATCTTGCTGGGATTCTTTGACCCTAGCTGACATTCTGCCCCTGTGGCAGGGGGCTGGACTTGATGATCTTCCAAGGTCCCTGCCAGCCCGAACGTCTATGAAAATCTATGAAAATTCTCATCCTTTTACAATGAAGAATTGTGCTGGAGGGATGTAAGTTGGTCCTAAAAAGTCCTGCATCTAGCTATGAGTGAACTCTCTTGGTGCAGAAGCTGAAGAAAATAGCTGCAGACTTTCTTGAAGACTTCCTGGAGAATATTGGAATAGTTAATGTGAATTAACTAATGTTAATTCAGTGGCAGGATTTGTGCACAGTAATCCTTATTTCTTGTGAGGAGAGTATACATACGCCAAACTCTGTCTTCAGCGGGCCTAGAATTTCCTGACCATTGTTTCCTCCTTGTCATGTGTCCTGAGTCTTGAACCCCCTTGTAACGTGTCCCGAGTCATAGAATCTTAGGTGTCCTTTGTTTGAGGTCTCCAGCATCATTCTAAAATTTGAAAAATCTTTGTAAAAAGCCCATGGATAAGCCCACTCAGTGTAGCAATAGAAAAGTGATTTCTCATAAGAGGACAGCTTTCTATTGGCAGAATGGATAAGACATTGTCATTAGGTATGGAGGAGCCAGTTTAGTTAACAAATACAGAGCCACATACTGAATATTTCAAAATCAAAAGAGTTCCATTAACTTGTGCATGAGGTGAATCACACCCCAGATGGAGATCAGAGTACTTTGTTTTTAAGCAGTTCCTGCCTTAAATATATTTGCATGTTGATTTCTCTTTGCACATATAGGATGGAGACAAACTGATCAGGCTCTGGATTCATGAGGTTTATCGAGTTTTCTATGACCGTTTACTTGATAATGAGGACAGGCAGGTGTTCTTTAAGATGGTAAAAGAAACAACATCAAATAGCTTCAAGCAGAGTGTTGATAAGGTATGCTAGGTTATACATAATATTTTTGATGTAGAGACTGGATTAATTCATTATAAAACTAATTTCACATTTTATATTTGGTTTGTATTGGGCAATTTTTTGGATGGCCTCTGTTGATGTACCCACAGTAATCTCTATCTGTGTATTGTGCCTTTGCACGTGCAAATAAGGGCCTTCATTCTGCAAATTACACGTTGCAGGTGGACTCAACTTCAGAAGGGCTTTAAAGAGGGCCAGAGGGCCACTTGGGATGAATACCTTGCATGAATAGGGCCAAGATCTCAGCAGTTTTTGACTTGTGCACATTTGAAAGAACTCACAAATGCTATGGGTACATTGTTAGAGGTGTTCTGGAAACTTGACAATATACCTGTCAAGGAAATCATGGTGGCCGCTCTGTAAGGTATGGAGAGCTGAAAAATTACAGTTAGCGCACACATGTTACTCCCATCTGTTTTTTGTGTGGTCTAAAAGCATACATCAGAACAGCTGGAAAACAGGCTTTCCCACAGTGATAGTACTATGTGGATAAGAGAGTACATCCAGTTTTGGGCTCCACAATTCAAAAAGGATGTGGAGAAGCTTGAGAGAGTCCAGAGAAGAGCCACGCGCATGATCAGAGGTCAGGGAAGCAGACCCTACGATGAGAGGCTGAGAGCCCTGGGGCTCTTTAGCCTGAAAAAGCGCAGGCTCAGGGGTGATCTGATGGCCACCTACAAGTTTATCAGGGGTGACCACCAGTATCTGGGGGAACGTTTGTTCACCAGAGCGCCCCAAGGGATGACGAGGTCGAATGGTCACAAACTACTTCAAGATCGTTTCAGGCTGGACATAAGGAAGAATTTCTTTACTGTCCGAGCCCCCAAGGTCTGGAACAGCCTGCCACCGGAGGTGGTTCAAGCGCCTTCATTGAACACCTTCAAGATGAAACTGGATGCTTATCTTGCTGGGATCCTATGACCCCAGCTGACTTCCTGCCCTTTGAGCGGGGGGCTGGACTCGATGATCTTCCGAGGTCCCTTCCAGCCCTAATGTCTATGAAATCTATGAAGAAAAAAGGATTTATGTTATAATAAAGTACTCAGTCAGATTTATCTCTGATTTTTGTATTTTCAACAGGTATTGAGTCATCTGTCACCTACTGGCAAGATCACTGATGATAATATACGCAGTCTCTTTTTTGGAGACTACTTAAAACCAGATAGTGATGCAAAAGCCTATGATGAAATCACGGACTTAAAACAACTGACAGGTGTGATGGAATATTACCTTGAAGAGTACAACAATATTAGCAAGGCACCAATGTCCTTAGTCATGTTCCAGTTTGCTATTGAACATATTTCAAGGATCTGCAGAGTGTTAAAGCAGGACAATGGTCACTTGTTACTGGTGGGGATTGGTGGAAGCGGGCGACAAAGTGCTACCAAGTTGGCCACCTTCATGAATGCTTTTGAGCTCTTTCAGATTGAAATTACAAAGTGTTATGCCACCAATGAATGGAAGGAGGATGTGAAACGTGTTATGCTGCAGGCTGGTGTCAGTGACAAAAAGGTGTGCTTTTTGTTCTGTGATAATCAAATCAAAGATGAGGCATTTGTGGAGGACATTAACATGCTACTGAATACAGGTGATGTGCCTAACATCTTTGCAGCTGATGAGAAAGCTGAAATTGTGGAGAAAATGCAGGCTGCAGCAAGGACAGAAGGCAAGAGAATTGAGGCAACTCCACTTGCCATGTATAACTTTTTTATTGAAAAAGTGAAGAAAAATTTGCACATTGTCTTAGGTCTGTATATATCTCGCTTTGTCTTCTTGTAGCTCTCTTCACTTCATAACCCTTGTAAACTTAATTAACAATATGGATTCCTTCCAGCAATGAGTCCGATTGGAGATGCGTTCCGGAACCGATTACGAATGTTCCCATCATTGATAAATTGCTGCACCATTGACTGGTTCCAAACTTGGCCCACAGATGCTTTGGAAATGGTTGCAAACAAGTTTCTGGAGGATGTTGAACTTGAAGATGAAGTGCGGAAAGAGTAAGTATTTTCTTGTCAGAAAATTTGTGAAGCTGTTTATTATTTATGCCTCAGCAAGCTTGTATAATTATAATTAAGATATTATCCTAATATAAATGTACCATTTTTTGTTACAGTGGTACAATTCCATTGAAGGCAGTAGGACTGTAATGGATTATGGCCCCAATATTTGTACACGCTAAATACTTGCAGCACTCTTTGACTTTAGTAACTTTGAAAATCAGGCCATTAAGAAAGAAGAGAATTTGATCTATTATATATTTGGTAATGGGCAAAACCAGGTCTTAGCACTCTTTTAACACTAGTGTCATTTCCTTGAATTCAGTATGGATACTTTGGATTTAAACTGATGTAACTGAGAGCAGAATCTGGCTCCATAGTTTTAGATGTTAAGAGAACTATATGGTTTGGTAGGTTATTGTTATTGATTGCTGTGACATAACTCTAATACCTAATTAATAATTAACTCTAATACATAGTTACATAGTAACATGGGATTTTCCCTTAGGGTTGTGCTGATGTGCAAATATTTCCAAGAAAGTGTGAGAGAACTTTCAGTGAGCTATTACAACACACTGCGAAGGCACAACTATGTAACACCGACATCTTATCTGGAACTGATTCTCACCTTTAAATCACTGCTACACAGCAAAAGGCAAGAAGTTAATACAATGAGAAATCGGTACCTTGTTGGCCTCCAAAAACTTGACTTTGCATCTTCACAAGTAAGCTTAGACTGAAAACAGTAAGGATAATTTTTTTAACATGACATATGGGTAATAAGGCAGGCAGCTGTTAAGGCTAAAAAGAGTTACAAGCTTAATTCCCTGTTCACTGTACTATTAGCAATTTTCTTCTCAAAGCCACCAGGAAATGTTAAAGTACTGCTTAGCTATTTTAAGAGATTGTGACATATATTTTTAGATGACATCACCTAATGGACAGGATGCGACTCAATCAACCATGGTAGAAGAAATAGCTGAATTTAAAAAATGCAATAGTTTTCTCAGTGCTCCTTTTTTGAGAAATCTCTGGCAGAATGGCTTCCTTGGGAGCCTTCCTAATACTGACTGTATATGTCTATGCTTATTAGGGATGTACGAAGTGGGCCCTATTCGATTCGGATTTGGTCCAAATTGAGGATGGTGATTTGATTAGTTGATTCGGATCACTGTCCCTGATTCGATTTAGCTGAATCCGAATCTGAAGATTCAATGCTGATTCAGAGAATCAGCGATTCAGCCATAGACACAGCTTTAAACGTTTTTTCTACATACCTTGAGGTACCAACACGGCTTGTGAACGCTGCAATGCTGGGGTGTATGGAGCATCCCACAGGAGCACAGGGGGGCCCCCCCACATGCTTGGCAGCGAACCCAGAAGTGGACTGGACGTACTTCCAGTCCACTTCCAGTTCTGCCGGAGAGCGTGCAGGGGGGTGCCCCTGTGCACCCCCAGCTCGGCTATTGGCCACAGCGGGACCCCAGGTGCCCCCCAGACCCAGGAGGCACCAGCCACCGAGCCGGGGGAACATGGGGAGGCCCTCTGCATGCTCCCCGGTGGACCTGGGAGTGCTTCTCATTCACTTCCGGGTCCACTGCCAAACTCGCAGGGGAGCCCCCTGCGCTGCTGTGGGACACTCCATGCACCCCAGCATCGCAGCGTTCATGAGCTGCCTTCTATCTAGAGGTATGTAGAAAAAATATTTAAAGCTGCGTCTACGTCCAAATTGCCGAATGTCTCTGAATCAATTCAGAGGGTTCTGATTCAATTCGGAGAGATTAAAGGGCCCTCTGATTGAATTCAGATTCGGAGGTTCGACCACCAAATTGGGCCAAACCTCTGCCAAATCAAATCAGGGACTGAAGCTTTGCACAGCCCTAATGCTTATCTCCCCTATCAGGATGTGGAATTCAGAAAGAGAGTTACTATTACTGAAATGAGTGTTAATTCCTATGTAGATTATTCCTAGAATTGTTCACCCAAAATCCCTGTATGACTAAATCATTAAACGTATTTGGGCTCCAGCTCTGTTCCTGTCTGTTCATGGAATAGACCTTCCCAACTTGGGGGGGCCTTCCTGCTCTTTCTTGGTGGAGAAGAGCACACAGTGAAGCTGACCTCCCCATCTCTGTCTTCCTCCTGATTTGAATATATGAGTTTTTAAATATATGAATATATATTTAAAAATTGAACTCTTTGTTTCTGGACATTTTTCTGCCTACACTACTAGGATTTACTTTTGTTTCCCTTGTGTCTATATTAGGTTGCAGAAATGCAGAAGGAACTGACTGCTCTTCAGCCTGAACTCATTCAAACCTCTGCAGAAACAGAAAAAATGATGATCCAGATAGAAAAAGAAACAGTTGAAGTAGATGCAAAGAAAGAGCTAGTGTCTGCCGATGAAAAGGAAGCTAATGAAGCTGCAGCTGTTGCTAAAGCTATTAAGGTATTTACAAGAGCCTGACTATGCAAGGTAATCAATGCATCTCAACTGCTGTCCAGGGAAAGGGAGTTGATTTGATGGACAGAGTACAACAGAGGAGTGACCCAACTTCCTAACAATGCAGTTAAAATAAAGACATGAGGAATGATGGTTGAAGTGTAAATAATGCTAACAAATATCACAGTGACTAGGGTCAGGTGTTGGCCAGGATTTACAAATCTCCCAGAATTTTATAGTGCCCATGCCTTTGGTAGACTGTGGCTGCTTACAGACATGAAAAAAACAAAAAAAACCAGCACTTTACTTTCAGCTTGGCATGCCCCTGTACCGAGTGCAGTGCATGCCTGGAAGAGGCATTGCATCAGTTTGACCTGACTCTCCCAACATCTGTACAGATCACATGCTTCAGCAGGGCTTTTTGGCACTTTCATCTAATAGCTGATTTAATCTAATCTTTTTATGTAATAGCTAATAGCTGACTACACTGACATGCTTCCTCTTTTAGTAAAGTGGTTGTTTTTTTTCACATCTGTCAGCGGGCCTGTTGCACACAACTGAGTTGCACATACTGCTGCCTCAAAAAAAAGTTGGTTCCAGTTTTCAACTTAGTTGACAGAGGAGAAACTGATCCCATGAATATGGATAGAATAAGTCTCAGCCCCTACATAAAGCCCAGGGAAGCAGATTTTATATAAGCACTCTATGAAATGGTTTGGAGGGAAGGAAATCTTCCTGTACTACCTCAGGACATAGAAAAACTTCTTGTGTATTACCCAATGGCTGCAATCTGCAGACAGTAGCTATATCTACTGTGATGTCAAGCCTTCTACTTAATATAGAGCTTGTGGGTTGTTGCTGCTTGTGGGCACATTAACTATGCCTTGATACTTTCTCAACCTCTTCCTGGTTTCTGTTTTCCCGAACACTTGAGCCCCCATGCCTGCAAAATGAACAGCAGACCTCCCTTTCCCATGCATTGCAGCTGCAGCAGCTGTAAAACTTTTGGGGTCTTCTCCAGACTCAAGGATTTCACCTTTAGTTTTGGTACTGAACAATATAACCAGTCTGTTCAGTGTTTTGTTGTTAGGACTTTGACTGCATTAATGTTTTGTTCACTTACATGACTATACTGGAGAAGTAAAATATACATTTTACAAGAATGGAATTAACCCTTGGATACTCGTGGTTGAGTTGTTTCAGCATGATGTCACATCATCTTGTTGTGCACTGGTTGCCCTGTGATGGGGGTCCTCATTAGTACTTTACACTTGGTAGAGAATAAATATGGGGCCAGAGTTATAAAATAATGTAGAATTCTATAACTGTGATACTGGGAAACGAAACTATTAATTTGTATTGTGGTGGAAGCTCAAGTTAGAAGCCAGGATACATATACACACACCAGAAAATTCAGGCAACGTGAGAGAACATTGCCATGACGAGATAACTGTGGCCTACTACTCCAGGAGAGATTGTGAGACTTCTCAGTGCTTTCTCAAGTTGTGCAAAAAAACAAAGACTGTACAGTTGCTGGGGCTGCAGGCAAATTGTTGCTTGCTGCATCTTGCTGTAATAGCACCATATGCAGGTTAAAAGCAATGGGCGTCTATACATGTGCTCCACGGTGAAGGGAGGATGCGCCTTAATTAGAGTAGCTCTCAAAGAGTAATTAAAGTGCTTGCATCATCGTGTGTATTCAGTGCTCCACCCTTCAAAATGGTCGCGGAGTTGCTTTAAGTAAAGTGTGTTCAATAAGCTTTAGTTAAAGTGCTCCCACCACCATTTTGAAACGTGGGGATGGTGAATACATGTGACATGAAGGCTGCTGGCGCGTGCTAATTAGCACGCTCCAGCAGACTCGCAGCAGACTCAATTAATTATGTCTGCTCTGATGCGTGCTAATTAGCACATGTTGCAGCAAAGCTCCATCATGTTTATAGGTTTCCAATGAGCTGCTGAGCACACTCCCCCCCACAGTGTTACTTCCATGTTCTGCTTCTCAGTACTTACTACTCTGCAGAAGATCCCTACATAGAGAAATGGAATTTTCTGTAGTCTTTTAACTGTAAAAGGTCATGATAGTGGGATGCAGTTAGAGGGTTTATAGAGTAGTAATATGCTAGACTGTTGGGACAGATTATTAAATTAATTCTGTCTGCGTGACAAATAATGTTATGAAAAGTCTGTTCATGCAGTTATTTCTGCAGTAGGTTCACTAATGCCATGCTAGCATTTCTCAGAGCAGGGCAGTCAGTCTGCAACTGCTCTGCCAGGTCATAGCAGTGTCCTGATGTCATTACAGGATGAGTGTGAAGGGGACCTTGCGGAGGCTATGCCAGCTCTGGAGGCTGCACTTGCAGCTCTTGATACCTTGAACCCCTCGGATATCTCACTTGTCAAAGCCATGCAGAATCCACCAGGCCCTGTCAAGCTTGTCATGGAGAGCATCTGTGTAATGAAAGGAATGAAACCAGAGAGGAAGCCTGATCCAACTGGCAGTGGTAATCATGTCATTGGGAAAGCTGATGGTGTACTTATGTCGTCTGGGCCTGGTCAACATTCACACCAGAAGTGTTTGCTAGTATAGGAATATGATACTCTAGTGGCAGAGTGCTCCTTGTGGACACAGCTACACCAGCAGCGCTGCACACCTGCCAACATAGATTATTCCACATTGTCCCTTCTCCCCCTAGCAAGAAGAATAGTACAGGCAAAAGTGCCATTTTGTCACAATAGCTACATTTAACTATGGACTTTTGCCAGGATAACTGACTCAGTGACAAATCACACCTCATCACACTGCTGACTGACAGATCTGTCAGCTATGTAAACCCTGTCTTAGTTTGAAGTTACCTCTTCAGCTTTCCATTAACACTGAGCTAAGATTTGCAGACCCCTCAAGGAGCACTGGGAAGATCTACTATAGACCTTACCCCTAAATGCTCCTCTCGGTCTGCTGCTGCAAGAACATAAGGAAGGAAAATTTTGGCCATACCCCTAGGTAACCACCTTCCCTTGAACCTGTGGAACAGCATTAGTCAAGCTAGGTGGCCCTTTGTGGTTGGGGATGACTAGTGTTAGCACTGGGTTACACGTGAGCACGCCAGTTGACAGAAGTGAAAGGACTCCTTGCCCCCATCCTTCTGTCTTCTGCTCACTCACAGTTTATTCCTGAATAATTAGGAAAATTGTTATAAATGTAGCTTTAACCCAAAATTTTATAATTTGGCTGTCGCAGGATTAATGTTGTTAATGAAGATTTCTACCAGTTACCAATTTGAGAGAACTTAATAATACTAAGTGCTTCTGTTTCAAGTTTTTTTCATGTAAGCAATTTCTAAATGTGTCAATGTTAACTTGTGGTAAAAAGACATGGCAAAGTATTTGCCATCTTTTTTCATATTAGCATTTAAAGCCTGATCTTCATATTTTTGTGCAATACAGGTAAAATGATAGAAGACTACTGGGGACCCTCTAGAAAGATACTAGGAGACTTGAAATTTCTCGAGAGCTTAAAGACATATGACAAGGATAATATTCCTCCTGTTATAATGAAAAGAATCAGAGAGAGATTTATTGATCATCCAGATTTTCAGCCGGCAGTCATAAAAAATGTATCATCTGCCTGTGAAGGCTTATGCAAGTGGGTCAGAGCCATGGAGGTGTATGACCGTGTAGCAAAAGTTGTTGCCCCAAAACGTGAACGTCTTAAGGAGGCAGAAGGTTTACTTGAAATCCAAATGCAGAAACTCAACAAAAAGCGTGCTGAGCTTAAGGATGTAGTGGATCGACTTCAGGCCCTGAACGATGAGTTTGAAAGCATGAATAACCGGAAGAAAGAATTAGAAAACAACATTGAAATCTGTTCACAGAAGCTGGTGAGGGCTGAAAAATTGATTAGTGGTCTTGGAGGTGAGAAAGATAGGTGGACAGAAGCTGCACGATTGTTGGGAGTTCGATACACGGACCTTACTGGTGATGTGTTGTTATCATCAGGAACAGTGGCTTATTTGGGAGCCTTTACTGTAGATTATCGCCTTGAATGTCAAAAGCAATGGCAGGTTCTATGCAAGCAGAAGAACATACCATGCTCCAATGATTTTAGCCTCAGTAATACTTTAGGAGAGCCAGTCAAAATCCGTGCCTGGCAGATTGCTGGACTGCCAATTGATTCTTTTTCAGTTGATAATGGTATAATTGTTTCTAACTCCAGAAGATGGGCTTTAATGATTGACCCTCAAAGGCAAGCCAACAAGTGGATAAAAAATATGGAGAAAGCAAACAAGCTTTCAGTTATCAAACTGTCTGACACAAATTATGTGAGGACCCTGGAAAATGCCATCCAGCTTGGAACACCTGTCTTACTTGAAAATATTGGAGAAGAACTGGATGCTTTCATAGAGCCTATATTGCTGAAGCTAACATTCAAGCAACAGGGTGTAGAGTACATGAGACTAGGTGAAAATATAATTGAATACTCAAGAGATTTCAGGTTTTATATAACAACTCGTTTAAGGAATCCTCATTATCTTCCTGAAGTGGCTGTAAAAGTTTGTCTTCTCAACTTTATGATTACACCTTTAGGTCTCCAGGACCAACTTCTTGGAATTGTAGCTGCAAAGGAAAAACCCGAGCTGGAAGAAAAGAAAAATAAACTGATTATAGAAAGTGCAGCCAATAAGAAACAACTGAAGGAGATAGAAGATAAAATCCTAGAGGTCCTTTCCAAGTCTGAAGGAAACATCTTAGAAGATGAAACAGCAATTAATATTTTGTCTTCCTCCAAAGAGTTATCTGAAGAAATCTCTGAAAAGCAGGAAATTGCCTCTATAACAGAAATGGAAATAGATGCTACTCGGATGGGTTATAAGCCAGTAGCTATTCATTCAACAATTATCTTCTTTTGCATTTCTGATCTAGCAAACATTGAACCAATGTACCAATATTCATTAATTTGGTTCATTAACTTGTATGTATACTCTATTGCAAATAGCAAAAAGAGCGATGACCTACCAGCAAGAATTGAGAATATAACTGAATATTTCACAGTGAGCATTTATAATAATGTCTGCCGTTCACTGTTTGAGAAAGATAAATTGCTCTTCTCCCTTCTTTTGACTATAGGAATAATGAAAGGAAAAAATCAGATTGATGATGAGGTTTGGCGTTTCCTGTTGACAGGAGGTGTTGCTTTGGATAATCCTTATGCTAACCCAGCGCCTGAGTGGTTGGCTGACAAATCATGGGCTGAGATTGTACGTGCATCTAGTGTGAAAAACCTTCAGGGACTAATGGATCATGTAAAAGATAATCTTTCAAAATGGAAAATGATTTATGATTCTGCAAAACCTCAAGAGGAGGCATTTCCAGATGTGTGGAAAACACTAATAGGGCTAGATCGTTTGGTTGTTCTCAGGTGTTTGAGACCTGATAAAATTGTTCCAGCAGTACAAGAGTTCATCACAGAGAATATGGGAAGAACATTTATTGAGCCACCTACTTTTGACCTTGTTGGAAGTTATAATGATTCTAATTGCTGTGCACCTTTGATTTTTGTATTATCACCAGGTGCTGATCCTATGGCAGGTGAGGTTTATACTTTGTGTCTCTGGATATATAATAAATGTAAGATTTATCAGTCATCTTTACAGAACTGTAAATTATGCAGTAGTAAGAATGTTAGCTTTCAAATATTTCTATCCTTCCACATCTTTTGCATTTCTGAAGAGGGGAGTTGGAAAGGTATCCTGAATGTAACAGTGATGAAATGACTAACTCCCTGGCTCTTCACTGATTTAAGACATTTTAGACTCAATGGAAGATTCTTGCTTGCAATACACATTGTCAAGTAGAGTACTTAAATCTACCTTTACCTAATTTTTAATTTAGTGTATGCAATGGTGTTTGTAAAAATTATATAAAAATAAAATATTATTAAATATTATTAAATAATAAATTATTTAAAAAATAAAATATGCAATATGGATGTGTTTACTAAAACACAGTGTCAAAATTTACTACCATAGGTTTGTTAAAGTTTGCAGATGACGTTGGCATGGGTGATACAAGCATTCAGACTATTTCACTTGGCCAGGGCCAAGGCCCAATTGCAGCAAAAATGATATATCAAGCTATTATTGATGGGACTTGGGTAGTGTTACAAAACTGCCACCTTGCAACCAGCTGGATGCCTGCTTTAGAAAAAATCTGTGAAGAAGTGATAGTGCCCGAGAGTACCAATGATAAATTCAGGTAGGAGCTTTACAATTCTGCCACTTTCTGTGTGAACATTTCTTATTTGTTAGGGTTGCTAGTGAAAGGACTAAAGATGTTTTTGTATGTGAACATAAAAATAAATTAAAATTGCAGTTAGAGATATGTAACCAAGACTCTCTCTGTGTCTTCTCTATGCATCTGTCCACTGTACCAAATCCAGTGGTAACAAAAAATATGTTTTAGTTGGTAGTTAGTTCTTTAAAGAAACAAACAAATCATGCTGCTGTCCAAGATTAAGGATAGCTTGTCAGCTTTTTATTTTTCTTTATTCAGATTATGGTTAACTAGCTATCCATCAGAAAAGTTTCCTGTCAGTATTCTCCAGAATGGCATCAAAATGACCAACGAGCCTCCCAAAGGCGTTAGAGCAAACTTGCTCCGATCATACCTCAATGATCCAGTCTCTGATCCTGCATTCTTTAGTAGTTGCCAAAAGCAAGAAATGTGGCAAAAACTCCTGTTTGGGCTTTGCTTTTTCCATGCTTTGGTACAAGAAAGAAGAAACTTTGGCCCTTTGGGTAAGACTTTGATCATGCTATGGATTTTGTGAAAAGAAGTTAGTTTTACAATACAGTATCGATACATACAGGTGTTCAGGAAGGTTCGGAGAAGGTTAGATGTTAAAAATGGCCACCCAATCTAACTCAGTTCGTGCAGGTACGGACCTTACACTTAGATCCCTAATTAGATGGATCTAAGTATAAACTGTACAGAAGTTTAGGACACTTAGCTTGAGTTGGCCATTTTTAGACTGATGTAAGTTAAGTGTACCTCTGAGGTCGTCTAACTTAGTTTGGGTCTGGTGAGGCTGATCTAATTAAACTTCTGCACAGTTCCCAGTGCAGCCTCAGCACTAGGAAACCCAGCTGCTGGGCCCAGCCCTGACCTTCCCTACCTCCCCCACCCTGCCCCCAGCACTGGTCTATTTTCAGCCCCTGGCCCCTCACCCAGATGGACAACCTTCCCTGCAGCCCAGCCAGCCCCCTTGAACCTGCCAACTCCCCCATCTGGTGCCAGTTTTACTGACATTTGCTGGTGCCAGGAGCTGTGGAACTAAATGGAGCTGGGGGAGGTGCAGGCCGGGGCAGGGGAATCGGGTGGCTAAAAATAGTTCCTGGGTCCAGAGGTGTGGGAGAGAGAGCCGCCCCCATCCCTCCAACCCCCCCTGCAGACATCACTAGCTCCCCCAATCCTGCCAACTTGCCCCCCCCACCATTTCCCGAGAGACCCCCTTGCTAGCCCCTCACCATACCAACTTACCTTAGATTGGGTGGCCATTTTTAACTTGATCTAACCTTCCCCTAACCTCCCCGAAAGTCTGTATGTACCCTATTTCAGCCTCTAGTCAGAAACACTACCCCTAGCAGTGTTGCAGGAATTTGATTTTTCTACACGATGATGGATATCTTTATTATGTATGTTTGCATCGCACAGAACACAGTGAAGCAACATTTCAAAGGCGTTTGAGCTTTTGAGGACTGACTGCCAAGATTCTCACCCAGGCAGAACTACTAATGAAGTTGATGGGAATTATAGCTGAGTTAAGATTAGAAATATTGGCGCCAAGTGTCACTTTGCAAAGTACAGTACAGTACAATACAGTAGCAACAACAACAACCTGCGCGTGCGCGTGCCCCCCCCCCCTCTGTTATTAACTTATTTGGCCTATAAGAATAAAATTTCTCTATGCACATTTTCATTTTAAATCATTTGTCTTTTTCATTACCATTCTTTTTTTTGTGAGCAAAGCCAGTACATATGGTAGCTTGGAATGGCACTTGAAATTATTCAGCTATAATTCATTGGCCATGAAATTAAAACTTGTAAAAGAATAACAAACATAAGTATTTGATGTGTGTTACATTTTTTGTAAATTAATGCATAGTCATTAGAACAACATATATTTAGAAAATTGTCTGGAATTATAATATTTCTATGACATGTATAAATAAAACTGTGCAGTTACAAATATGCCATTTTGATAAATATGTAGAATTTATGTAGACCTTTCTGTTACATGGAGTGCTTCTCATTTATACAACAAGGCTGAATTTGGCATGTGCATTGAATTGCTAACTCATCACAAGAATTCATTCTGTGTGCAAAATCTATGCACCCACCTTCCCATGCAAGTGATACAGAAAAGGCATGATATTCCTGATATTTGGTTGAGAATTTTGTGGCTGTCAGCATTGTGCAGAATACGTGAAGTAAAATTAAGAGAAATGTTTCCTAGAAGAGCAAGTGGGTGTAGTTTTTCAGGAGTAGCTTGCTTAACAGTGACATAAGGTCCATGTTTTATTCAGATCAATTATTCAAAATGCATGACAATGGGTCATTTTACTAGTTTTCTGGGGTTCATTGTTGGTTATTTTGAATGTCACCGACACCCAGTGAAACAGATGAGCACATTGTGTATGTTGTTAAAAATTGAAATCAGTCAGTCAAAACTCCTCTGCTCATGCTGCCAAGATGATTTCAGATCAGCTAAAGTTCTGAGCAGTTCTGTTCTCTACACCCAATACAATACAGCTGTTCAGTTGTGAGCAATACCAAAATGACAGGCCCTATGTCTACATATTTATTTACATAGGATATGGTAGGAAAGTATAAAATGTCAGATTGGGATATTATTATTGATACTTATTCTCTGTGTGGGCAACAAAAGGTTTCATCTGGGTAGTTACCTAGCAGTAGGAGACTCTTCTTCTAAAATAACTGCAATGCCACTGACATAATTTTTATGTGCACTTACAAGTGCAATGCACTACTGACACATCTATCTCTTTTCTGAACTGAGCAGGCTGGAATATTCCATATGAGTTTAATGAATCTGATCTTAGAATCAGTATGCGACAGATCCAGATGTTTCTGAATGAATATGAAGAAATCCCATTTGAAGCTCTGACATACCTAACAGGTATAAGAGTTGCTCTCTATAACATCTGTAAAACTGACAACATGTGATTAGATTTCATGCAGGTATCTTTTTTGCTTTGCTAGGCCCTCCCAGATGGTTATCACCCCAATATATAAGATTTGATTAAATGAACTGCTGTCTTAGTTTGTGTAGCTAGGAAGTTGCTAGTGGTCCAGCAGAACTTTCAAGTTTTGTTTCCTATTTGTAAAGCATAAATATCAGTGGCCTTGAAATTACTTTGGCTAATCAGTAAGTCAGATGCTGACTTTTCCAGCAAGAGAGGCAATATGATAATCTTCATCAGTTATAAAGTATCTGGGGCCAATCTGTGCTTTGTAAAAGGCAGATGAAATATTTCCTTATAGTTAGAGTCACTTAGATGGACCTCATCCTATAGACAGAGATCTGTTCATGGGAACATCCCTTCTCAGCCTCTGAACCATGATATCTGCTTTCTCTGAAGCAGAAGCAAATACAAGTATTATGTTTAGTTACATGAAAACTAAAGAGAAAGGATGAAGATAAACATCTCTAATATAGTATGTGTGGCTGCTTGTCTCTGCCCCCTGTACTTTAAGTCTATGCTGTTTATTTCCTCTTCCATGGTGTAAGACCAAATCTCCCTTTATTGCCTGCAACTCCCATTTATTCTACTCTTCCCAGGTCCTTTTGCAGTGTGATTCTTTGTGCCTCCATATTTAAGCCCTATAGTTTGAATTTATGTGACTGAAACCCTAAACAAAGGCAAGAAGCTCCTTAAGAGGGCTCAGAAGAGAGACTTTTGGAATTTAGCTGGTCGAATAAAGACTGCCAAAAGAGGCCCAAAGATGAGTTTTAGTTAAGAGGAGGCTTGAGGCATGGCATGGTTCATCTTTCTATGGAAAGCAGTTTTCCAGACCAGCTATAAGTGCTGTTCATGTTCAAGAGACCACAGGACGAGTTAGTTAGGCCCGCACCCTCAAAGGTATTTAGGTGCCTAGCTCCCATTGAGCGATAGGAGTAAATGCTTAAATACCTTTAAAGTTCTGGACTTTACTTCCTATCATAGTTCCTTAACTTACCCAAGTATTTCTTTGATGGAAGTAATTTTTTTGTTATGTTGTTATAAATGGCCTTTCAATTTTTCATTCTGTTTTTCTGTGTAATTTCTCAGGGGAATGTAACTATGGTGGGAGAGTAACAGATGACAAAGACCGGCGTCTTCTCTTGTCACTTCTTTCCATTGTCTATACTAAGGATATAGAACAGGACAAATACCAACTTTCACCTGAGGAGGAGTACTACATACCAATCCATGGACCATACCAGGTAAAGAAATGAAGAACAGAAATATCTTCTGATAAATCACTGAGAAGAAGTTTGTATGTGTATGCTGGAGATTGATGTGCTGTGTGAAGGCTGTCTCCAATTCCCTCAGAAACAGAAAATTGAAAGATCCTAAACAATGCCAGAATGTATCTGGATTCAGAGAATTGGGACTTAAAGCTCTAATACCATGGTGTGTGAGACATGATGAGCTTGCATTATTTCAGGTCATGTTACTGTAACGATGCTGCTCCTGTGTAGGTTTTGTACTGCTGGACTGCTCTGGTTCTGGAAAGCTGAAAGAAGTTAGGCTGCAGAAACACTGTGCCCCCTCTCACAGCCCTGCCAGACTCTTTTCCCTTCAAAGAAGTGAGTGGTGGGTGTGTGCATGACTATCCAGAGCCATGGGCTCAAACCTTCTACCCACCCACCTCCAAGGTCAAATCTCACCGGTAATATAGCTAGGGATCCTCCTACCAGCTGCCTAGATACAAAACATCTTGCTATTAGTTGTGGGGAGGACTCTTGACAGTTCTTTTATCAGAACCCTTATGTGAAGCTTTCCTCTCTGGCTTTGCAGTGTGGGGTGAGGTGGCCTTTCCAGATGCTGGAATATATTTGTGGGTTCAGGCAAACATAAACCTGCACAAAGTCAGTACTCATAAAAATGTTTGAATGGTATGGCTTGCCCAAGTCTAGTTCCTAGTATTTGAAAGTATTCCACCTGGCTTCTGGTATCAACAACATCATCTCAGAGGCCTGGGAGTTCAGTAGCTAATGTAAGAAGATTATGTGAGCTCTCTATTTGCAGGAGGGCTACAAGATCAGGATCTAAATGAGTCTGAAATCTTCAAAACTTTTATATTTCTGTATGTGGATGGATAAGACGCTTCTTTTTTAAGCGGGGAACACTTGTGTTTGAGCATGACTGGCCATCTTGCATTTCACTGTATTCTATCATTTTCACCATGTTTTATCAAAGTTGGCCTGCACTTACTGATCGATTAAAAATATCCCATTAAATGCATGCTTTTAATAACAAAATGTTTTCTTTGCAGTCTTACATTGAATACATAAGAACATTACCAATTACAACACATCCTGAAGTGTTTGGGCTTCATGAGAATGCAGACATCACAAAGGACAACCAAGAGACCAACCAGCTTTTCAGTGGAGTTTTGTTGACTCTGCCTAGAGAAGCAGGGGGAGGTGGCAAGTCCCCACAGGTAATGGAGGGGAAAGGGATTTGTTTACAGTCAGGAAGGTGTTTTCAGGACATCCTCGCACATCATCACTTAGGGCTGGAATGAGTCTGATATTTCTCATCTCTTGACTACTTTAGGGATGGGAGTTGATATGGATGTGATCAGTTTTGTCACTATCTTCTGCAGTTTCACCTGATGATGGATGTGCTGAGTAGCTCCTGCTTCACACCTTCGATGCTCTCCTGGCAGGGCCTCAGATCAGTCAGAGCAACCTTGTTCTCCTATAACAAGGACAAAGTTAACTGTTTGATTGTATATGAAGGCAAAAGCTGTACAGCAAATCAGGGCTGGGGAGTTTGCTTTTAAAATCAGCCAAAGAAATCATTTTAAAAATTCCTCATTGTCTACCAACTCTTGATTTCAGGAAACCGTTGAAGACTTGGCACAAGACATCCTATCCAAATTACCAAATGACTTCAACCTGGAAGAGGTAATGAAGAAATACCCTGTGCTTTATAAGGAATCCATGAACACAGTTCTTAGGCAAGAACTGATTAGGTTCAACAGGTAGGACCAATGATTTTTTTTTAACATTAATAATACTGAAAGATGCCAAAATGTTTGTGCACATAATCAGCAGCAGATCACAAGCTTTACAGTCAACTGCAAACATTTTGTAATTAAACTCTTCATGCAAAAGCCATTTGTGAACAGATTAGATTCTGCTTCTGGTGATTTTACATAAAAATATTTAAAGGTGGCCACAGACTACCTCCTGGAACTCTGACAGCTCGCCAGAATTATATGATACGTACCAACTTTCAGTCGCTACTAGGCTGGATCAGAATTGAACTATCACAAAAGCTAGTTATCCTTTGAGTTATTCAGTCTCCTATATTCACAGCAAGTTAGAATATTTTAACTGGAACTTAAAGCTTAAACCTCTTATTAATTCATTTCTTTGTCTATTGTAAGTGTTACTACCAATTTTAAAAAGCCAAACAATAATTTTGGTAATTACAGATCAAGGAGAAATTTTGCACCATATTCTCCATGGCTTTGACCTACTCCCCATAACAGTCAATGCGAGACTTTCCATTGCCCAGATACTGAGTAAGTGATAAATTAACAATCTCTCCTTCGCCCATAGGCTGACAGAAGTTGTTCGAAGTAGCCTTGTCAATTTAGGCAGAGCCATCAAAGGCCAAGTGTTGATGTCATCTGAACTGGAGGATGTTTTCAACAGCATGCTTGTAGGCAAAGTACCAACCATGTGGGCAGCCAAATCTTATCCCTCCCTAAAGCCACTGGGCAGCTACATGTCTGATCTTCTTGCACGCTTGGCCTTCTTCCAGGTAGGCTAGCACTGGGGTTGACACACTGCAAAAACCTATCTGCGAAAGCCAAACAGGAAGAATTGTTTCAATTATGCTTGCTTTATAACACCTGTGTAGATCAAGATTGTGAACTCCTTGCATACATTCATGAGAAGTCATTCATGTGAATAATCCCATGAGAGCTACCTTTGCAAGTAAATGCTCAGAAAGGTGAGGTAGGGGTTCAGAATCTGACCCCTCTTCCAATGCTACAGATCACAACTTCTGGATTTTTATTGAAAGTTTATCTGAAAAAAAATTTTTTTACATCATGCTCAGCTGTGTGGTGCTGTGCTGAAGACTGCTTAAGAGGTCCTTGCTACATCAGAATGCAAGACCCCTTTTAGAAGTCTTCTAGCACAGAATAGACATAGAACTGATAAGAGTCCACTACTCTAAACACAGGTAGAGTTTAATGGAAAGTGACAGACTTTGTGATCCATGGATTTTTTGACTTATCCAATAGAATGCCATTATTGCCTTTTCCATTAAGTGTTCCCCTTGCTCTCCTAGTGTATTCTTTAAATTATTCTATAGATTTCATAGACATTAGGGCTGGAAGGGACCTTATAAGATCACTGGGTCCAGCCCCCTCCCCAAGGGGCAGGAAGTCTGCTGGGGTCAAATGATCCCAACAAGATAGGTATCCAAGTGGGTTTTAAAGTTGTCCAGAGTAGATGCTTGTACCACTTCTGGGGGGAGTCTATTCCAGACTCTGGGGACTTGGACGGTAAAGAAGTTTTTTCTTATGTCCAGTCTAAAATGGTCTTCCCAGAGTTCGTGACCGTTAGACCTTGTCTTCCCTTGGGGTGCCCTGGTGAACATATGTTCTTCCATTTTCTGGTGCACACCCCTTATATACTTATAGGCTGCCACCAAGTGCCCCGTGAGCCTTTGCTTTTCCAGGCTGAAGAGTCCCATGCCTCTCAGCCTCTCCTAATAAGACTTGTTCTCTTCTACATGGCTCTCCTCTGGGCTCTCTTAAGCTTCTCCATATCCTTCTTAAGGTGTGGAGCTCAGAACTGGATGCAGTACTCCAGCTGCGGCCTCACTAAGGCCAAGTACAGCAAGAGGATGACTTCCTGAGTCTTGCTTGAGATGCATCAATAGATGTAAGCCAGGGTTTTGTTTGCTTTGCCAGCTGTGGCATCGCATCGGTGGCTCCATGTTCATCTTGTGGTCAATCATAACCCCCAAGTCTCTTTTGGTCATGGAGCTAGTGAGTGTAGCATTGCCGAGCCTACAAGTATGATGTGGATTTTTTTTTCCCCAAGGTGGAGCACCTTGCATTTCTCAGTGTTGAATGTTATCAGGTTTTGATTCGCCCACCTTACAAGCCTGTCCAGGTTGGCCTGAATCGCCAGCCTATCCCATACTGTGACCACACTTCCCCATACTTTGGTATCATCAGCCAATTTAGCCAGTCCACTTCTGACACCTGAATCCAGATTATTTATAAATATGTTAAAGAGTACTGGTCCAAGTACTGAACCCTGGGGGATGCCCCTCATCACCGTGCACCATGTTGACATGGTTCCATTGACCATCACTCTCTGGGTTCGACCATGGAGCCAGTTTCCAAGCCATCGGACTATGAGGTTGTCAAGGCCATAGTTCCCCAGTTTAACCATGAGGACTTCATGGGAGACCAAGTCAAAGGCTTTTTTTGAAGTCCAAGTAGATTATATCAACCTCTTCTCCCTTGCCCAAGTGGTGCATCAGACAAGACCTACCTGCAGTGAACCTATGTTGGCTATCTTTCAGAATGTTGCATTCCATTAGCTTGGTGTTAATGGTTTCTTTGATGATTTTTTCCAGTATCTTTCCAGGGATTGAGGTCAAACTGATTGGCCAGTAGTTCCCTGGATCTTCTTTCCTCCCCTTTTTGAAGATGGGCACCACATTGGCCCTCTTTCAATCCTCAGGAATCTCACCCAAGCCTCACAAGTTCTCAAATATCCTTGCCATTGGCTGCGCTATGATGTCTGCCAGTTCTTTTAGCATTCTTGGGTGCATTCCATCTGGGCCAGCTGATTTGTCCAGCCTCTCAGTGTGTTCTCTCATGAGATCTTCACCAGTGATGGGTGTGTGTTTGCCCATACCCTGGCAATCCTGCATCTTGTTTAGCAGGGTGATCCCCGTGGGCTGGTGGAAGACTGATGCCAAAGTAATCATTAAGGAGATGAGCTTTTTCCTGGATGTCGGGTGTCAGCTGCCTGGTTTGGTTTAGCAAGGGTCCAGCATTGCCCTTGTTTTTCTTCAAACTACCTACGTATCTGAAAAAGGACTTTTTATTGTCCTTGATTCCTGTAGCCAATTTGAGTTCAGTTTCAGTGTTAGCTTTCCTAGTTTGTTCCCTACAGGTGTGGGCCAGTGCTGAATAATCCTCCTTGGTGATCTTACCTGACTTCCAACGCTTGTAGGCTTCTCTTTTCCAATATAGGAGGTCCATGAGTTCCCTACTGAGCCACAGGGGTCATCCAGCCCTTTTGCTACCTTTGTTATGGGCTGGGATGGACTTCCCTTGTGCTTCAAGGATCGCGTCTTTAAGGAGCGACCAATTATTGTGGACTCCCTTCTCTGTTTGATCCCAGTTCCTCAGGGCCTCAGCAGCCAGCCTCCTGAGCTTATGAAAGTTGGCTTTCCTAAAATCGAGGATTTGTGCATTGCTGACTCATTTGCCAGCTTTGCGATGGATAGAGAAAGTGATCAACTCATGATCACTGTCTCCCAACTTCCCTTCAATTCTCAGGTTGCTCACTAGATCATCCCCTTTGGCTAGTACCAGATCCAGGAAGCACCTTACCTCTTGTTGGCCTGTAGACTACTTGAGACAAGTAGAGTTTGTCAATGCAGCTGAGAAAGCTACACGAACGATCAGATTTGGCAGAGTGCTCTTCCTAGGTGACATCAGGGTAGTTGAAATCACCCATGACAACCATGCTTCAAGTATGTGCAGCCTCTGCCAGTTCCCCTGTGAATGTGTGGTCAAAATCTTCCTCTTGGTTAGGAGGTCTGTACTAGACTCCTAGCAATATGTCCCCTTCACCATGTTCTCCCCATAATCTGACCCAAAGGGTCTCGAGTCATCCTTCTTGGGTGCCAAACTCCACTTGTAGGGAAGTATGTTGCTCCTTCACATAGAGAGCTAAACCCTGCCCTTTTTAGCAACATGATCCTTTCTGTACAAAGTATAGCCATCTATACCTGTGGTCCAGTCATAGGTGGAGTCCCACTAGGTCTCTGTTATTCCTATAAGATCATATTGATTTTTATTTAGCAGGAGGGCCAGTTCCTCCTGTTTGTTCCCCAGGCTCCTGGCATTTGTATACAGGCAAGTAAGTCTGCCATCAGAGGTCCTTGGCTTCCCAGCCCTCCTAGAAGAGTCCCATCCCTGGGCTGGGGTAGAAGTCAGATCCACTGGGAATTCACGTGTGTCCCTTGTGCTGCATGACTTACTAATTCTGCAGTTGTTATTTAGTGGTCTTGCATCAATGGTTGTCCGCCCATCCCCTGGCAAGCTTAGTTTTAAAGCACTGGTGAGTAGGTAACTTCAAAAAATTATATGGCTCAGCAAAGGTGGAATGTGCTATATGCCCACAGCACATAGGGAGG